AAAACGGCTCTGCAATTTGTAATTTCTCAACCGTTTCCTTCAAAAACCTGAAAACAGTCACATGTAAATAAGCCGATGGATAGCAATGAGTTTCAGCCATACCCAGCTTCATCATGAGAAAGATGGTTCTATCTGATCCTATTAGAAGTCTCTGTTTCTCCCCCAAGTACTTTTATCTGATGGGCTGCATTTCCTCTCAAGCTGATTTTTATCAGTGTTCTATACACAAATGTCTCTTTTCTACTCCTTTCAGCAACCAAAATGTCCACATCATAAAGGGACAGAGCCTTACCTGTAAGATAATGGGTTTGGAGTAGATGATCTCTAAGGTGTCTTTCAACTCCACCTAGGACCTAAGAGGCATATAAAACCTTGATTATGAACAGCATACGTTTGGTGATCAGCAGTAGGAAATGTAAAAATAACAGGACTAAATATAGTCCCATTGCATAGTAAAGTGAATAAATTAATAAGGGTGAAATAGAATTCAATGTACAAAAAGAATGCTAGGACCCAAAATCAGCAGATTTAGAAAGAGTCTAGTGTTGCTTAATCAACACAAAACAAAAACTAATCAAAGAGAATATGCAGCTTACTAAGATAAGGATTTTGCATTAAATCACTAGAAAGAAAAATGTATTGAATTCAAATGGATCAAAACGATGGAAACTCATTCACGTTGGCTTATCTTGTGTTGCTCTTGTCCATGTGTTCCAAACAATTTGGAACACGTGGTTGGTTGTCCAATCAACATAACTCAAGAAACAAGGAAATTCATACATTTAAGGAAAAATTAATGGAATATTCTGAATAATTATAGATCTGTATTTTTTTAAAGTCAGGACAGGAAAAGCAAATTTTAATTTTTCTACTTTAGTAAAAATAAATTCTAGTTCCCCGAAGACAAATATTAACTATAAGAATGGACTATCCTATCCTATATTCCTCTATTATCGTGCCACAACCATTTCATAAAATCCAAAATGTAATATGGTGAGAAGATAAAACAAGTATAGATAGAATCCTGGATATGCCATTATGTTATATATGTAAACAGAGATATTAGAGCAGCCAAAGTATTTGGCATTTGAAAAGCGGTAGATACTGTATCTGATATTTTGACCAAAGAAATTTTTAAAAATGTCCCTAGGACTACAATATATAAGTAATATATTTTAATTCAGAATTATTTATTTTATAACATCTGGAAGCAACCTCCATTCACTAAAAGTTAGCAACATTTTCTTTTTAAAACTTTTATTTATATTTTCTAGTTTTGCATAATAATAATAGCTAGTCTTGATATAGTGCTTTAAGTTTTGCAAAATGCTTGAATCTTACAACAGCTTCTTGAAGTAGCTGCTATTATTTTCATTTTACAGATGAGGAAACTGAGACTAAGAGATTAAGTAACTTGCTGAGTCAAAGAACCTGTTGAGTGCCTGAAGCACAAATAGAACTCTGATCTCCCTGAGTCACCCAGGATGAGCTTAGGGGAGAGCTAATGGATCAGTGCCATGGGAGGGAATGACAGAATTTGAGACATGGAAGGAACCTCAACAGCTATCCAGTTCAATCCATACCTAAGCAAAATCCAGACTGCAACGTACCTGACAGGTCACACCAGCTAGTCTCTGCCTGACAGCCTCCAATAAGGGGGAGCTCACTGCCACTCAACCAGCCCCTTCTACTTGGACGTACCTAGTTGGTAGGCTATTTTCCCCAATGCCAAACCTTAATTTGCTTCACCCGCTACTCCTTGTTCTGCCCACTGGGGCCGAACACAACAAGCCTAATCCCTTCTTCCACATGACAGCCCTTCAAATACTTGAAAACATCTATGTCTTCTCTTGTCTATGCTAAATATCACTGTTTTCTTCAACTGATCTTCAGATGATTTGGACTCACAATCCTGACTGCTCTTCCTGGAGGCTCCCTAGATTATCAACATCCTTCTGAAACAACGGTTCATGGAACTGCACCCAGTTCTCCAGATATAGCCCAACCAGGGCAGTAGTTTCCTCAAAGCTACGATTCTCTTAATGCAGGCCTAAGCTGCATTAAGCTGCTTTCTTTTTTTGACCACCCCATCTCATTCAACTGACTTAGATTGAACTTTCAGCTTACTAACTCCCTACCAGATCTTCTTCAGACTGCTAACTGTGCATCCCCAGTGCTGTGCTTGTGAAGTTGACTTTTGAAACCCAGTGTAAGATTTTCTATTTAGACCTGCTGGGGTTCATCTCGCTAGGTGCCTCAGTGCCCTAGTCTCTTAAGACTTTGCATCCTAACTCTATTGTCCAGTGTCATTTTGTATCATTTACAAGTTTGATAAGCATGCCATCTATGACTTTAACTGTGTCATTGATAAAAATGCACAGTGCAAGATTATGAATCCACTGAAATATTTAAGTATATAGAGCTTTATGGTCACATGATACTTTACATACATTATCTCATTTAGCTGATCTTTATGAATAGAGCTTCAAAATAGTACAATAGGTAGGCATTATAAGTACAATTTGTATTTTATAGATGAGAAAACTAAGAATCAGAGTATTATGTTTAAGTTCATATAACATGTAGGGAAAGCAGGCCTCACACCCAAGGATTTCAGAAAATTTGACAATGATTATTTTATCATCATCATCTAGCTACAATGATAATTTGAAGTTCTCATGTATATAATCCAAAACAATGTTGGGGTAAGTTATTGAAAATTGCCAAGAACTTCGGTGACAGTAATATGGAGATTTTTCACATAATTAGGAGATTTAAATTTCAACTTTAAATGAATATTGTATTTGTGGCTAATGCCTGTATTTTTGTAAATTGTAAAAATCAGAGTTAACTTTGAATTAATAATATAGCCACACTAATAATGTGCTATAATCATTAATATTTGTATAGTTTTCATGTAATATTCAAGACTGAGCTAAAATCACATCCTCTGCAGGCCTTTTCTGGTCTCTCCCCCAGACTCCCTTCTAAGATTAGCTCTCATTTATACCATATAAACACATATATATTTGTAGTTATTTGCATATTGTCTCCTTATTGTAATGTGAGATCATTGAGAGCAGGAACTCAGTTTTTGTCCTATTAAGCTCTTTGCTTAATAAATGTTTGTTGACTGACTAGTGATCCAGTGTTGATAAAAATTAAGAACAGCCTGACAGTTAAATGAGTTTGTGAATATTTTTTAATTATAAAAGAGATTAGAGAGTCCTGTAGGGAAAATAATAATGCAGAATTAATACTGAATACTGAGTACAGAATCAAAATTTATTACAAAGAAAGAAAAATTACTAATTCATCAACTATGTTTTAATGCTTATAACTTATTCCTGAGATTTAATATAAAATGTAATTTTGAAAGACTATAGGTAAAAATAAGTGCTACAGCAATTTTTTTCCTTCATTAAAGGTAATTTGAGAAAAATGAGACATTTGAAAGTAATTTGAGGTAGCTTTTTTTTAAGGAAAAATATTCAAGCCATTAAACTTAGAGAAGTAAAAACTCAAGACATCTTTAATCTTTGGGATTTCATACCTTATTTGTATTTTTATATAATATGTATAATATTACTATATTAGCAAAACAATGTTAATAGAATATGAATTATATCAATATTATATTAATATATGTTGGCATTTAAGCACTTTAATTTTTGCAAAGCCCTTTCCATGTATTATCTCTATCTCATTATCGCATCACAATGGTATTCTCTCCATTTTATATGTGAAGAAATTGAGGCTCAGAGAAATTAAATGATTTGGCCAGAGAAAAATCATGTTCCTTCTTCCTCCAAATCTAGAAGTCTTTCCATTATACCAGTATGTTTCATTTAAACTAACATCATAAGTACTTAGGGCAGGTCCATGCCTTATGCTAGGTCATGTATGCCTCAAAAATGGGGATAGCAGAGCTGGTCATTAATGGCACACAAAGACACTGAATGAAAATTCTATCCTGGATTCTAATTTCAACTGAAGGGACCCAGACCCAGTCTGGTCACATCCACTGACTGAGGAGGTTACAAACACATTTACTTTTGTCAGGAAGGGAACTAAGTGGGAATTCTGGGTTAAAGACTGTTAAAGTTAAAAACTGGGATTGTGTAGAAGTAAGCATAAATATGTATACATGTACATCTGTATGTATGCATGTACATATACGTATGCATGTCTTTTCTCCACTATCTCCAGTCCAACGAGCCAGCTAGGTGGTGCAGTGGACAGAACAGGGCTTTAACTCAGGAACACTGAATTCAAATGCAGTTCCAGACACTCACTAGCTTTGCGACCTTGGGCAAATCACTAAACTCCTCTCCGCATGCCTCTCTATGTGTAAAATGGGAGTAATAATAGAAAGTATTTGACAGTGTTGTTGCAAGGACCAAATGAAATAGCACGTGGAAAGTGCTATGCAAATCTTAAAAAGCGGTATATAAATGCTGTTATTATTAATAATGTAGTGACAGTGGACCATGGAAGCCTAAAAGTCGTGATAAGGGTAAAAGGCATCAGATTGGGGCAGATAAAATATGCAGGGAAACAGAAAATGGAAATGGGATGAAACGGAAGGTCCCGGACAATCTTTCTCAGCTGAAAATTTATGCAGTGGCCCAAGAGCTTCAGTCCGGCTCAAAAAACCCAGCAGCTACCTAGTTCTACCGACAGGGGACGCTGTCCCTCAGCTGTGGGGTGTCCCGCCTCGTCCCGCCCCTTTACTTTTACTTCCTTCCCAGATGCCTCCAATTGGGGGCGCTCTCAGAGAGTCTCCCCGGTACGCCTGCGCGGAGAGAAGTCTCCCGTTGCCAGGACTTTCGAAGCCAAGGGCGGGGGTGGCGGGGGAGTGGGGAGTGTCGAAAGGTCCCGGCACTGGGCGAAAATCGTTTTGACGCGCATCCCGCGTGGCGGCCATCTTTAGCCCCTGGTCAAGGCAGTCAGCTGAGTAAGGTCTAGGAGGCGAAGACGAGTCGCTGCGCAAGCGCACCCGGGAAACTTGCAGGTAGCTTTCCATCTGACTAGCGAACGAGGCGGTGCCCCCGCCGTCGCCTTCGCCGCCGTCGTCGCAGTCGCCGGAAGTTTGGGGTTTCCGCGCCTTGGACGAGCCGCAGCGGGAGCAGCAGCAGTAGCCGCCGCCGCCCGCAGGGCTAGCTCGCGGTACCCGGATGTGAGGTGACCCGCCGGCTCCCGTTGGCAGCTCGGCCGAGGATGAAGAAGGTGCGCGTCCTTTCCTCCCGAGCTCCCTCCCCCGGGCCCCGCGAGAGCACCCGGCGCTAGCCCTTCGCGTGTCCCCGCGGTCGCTCCTCTCGGGCCCGGGCGGGCGCCGGCTCCTGGCGCCTGCCTCCGGGGGTGGCGGCTGAACGGGGCCGCCGGTGCCGTCGAGGTAGGCAGCCTCCCGGCCGCTTCACCTGCCGCTGCCGCCGTGGGCAGGAAGGGGCCCGGGACCAGGGGCTGCGCCGCGGGCCGGATGGGGGCGACCCCTGCCCGTCTCCGGGCCCCCGGCTGTCTCTCTGCCTCCGTCCCGCGGCGTTGGCCCCCAGCCCAGCCAAACGCCCGAGGTGTCGGGGCCGTGTCCCGAGCCCCGAAGAGGCCTTTGCTTCTCTGCGGGTCAGGACGCTTCCCGGCTTAGTTGGAATGGGGGCGGGGGATTAAGGAGCCCGGGAGAGCCGGACCAAGGTCACGGCGGGGGGGCGGTAGGGAAGGGAGGGTGTGGGAGAGCCCTCCTACCTGGGAACGCCGGGTAGTCCTGATGAATGGAGGGGCGGCTACACTTCAGACGGGCTTGAATAGTTTTTCGCCTCACCCGTATCACCCCTAAGGAATGGCAGTTAGAACCATGCCGCTGACCAATGCACATAAATTCTCCTTTGGAACTTAAAAGTTAAAAAGCTTGGATGGGGCACTAGTTTTCTGGCATTCTGATTAGATTATTTTGTGGCTGAATTGGGTATCTTCAGTAACATTTTTCAGCAATATTTGATTGCAGCACTTGGCATCTAAATGGTATTTGTGTGGCTGATTGGCAACGATTTTCCTGAATAACTGCTAGTCGTGCAGAAAGTATGTAAAGTACATTTTTTTTCAGAAGACGAAATAGGAAGGAATGTACTTGGCTGGCAGTTGTTGTTACAGGTATTTTTTGCTCCTGTATTTAAAAACTGGGGGGAGGAGAGTAGAGAAGTTAGAACTATGGTTATCTCCTTGCCTTACACTTGAAGACTCAACCTTTCAATTAAATATGCTTGACTGGGCTTCTACTTGGGTGCCTAACATAATGCCTGTGCCATTGAAATTAAGAATGGGAATAGTATTGGAAATGTTTGCAGGTGCCAGATTAAGAATTGAGAATTAGGAACTGAATCATGATATGTTTCAACAGTATAAAACAAGGCTATGTTTGGTGTTGAAAATAAGCCATATCTCTTTTTTTGAGAATTGGAATAAGGAGAATATATCTTTCAACATTCTCACAACCAGGGGCTCCTTTTCTCTTCCTTCCCCCCCCCCCCCGGTTGTAGTCTTCCCTTTATCATCACTTTCCAGTGTTCTGAGGTATGTTGGAAGAAGGTAATATTGTGCTGGGCAGACAGAATGTATGATGTGAATTCAGTTCACACCTGCAGTTTTGGGAAAGCCATTCTGCTGGTCAAAGTTTACTTCCACTTATGAATATACTGATCAACCAGTCATTCAGTCAGTCAGCAAGTGTTTATTAAGTGCCTACTATGTACCAAGCACTTGGCTAAAATATAAATCTAAATAAATTTAATTATAAAGAAATTTGTGTAGTTCTGTTTCTCTTTGTTTTAGATTAGATTTGTAGGGTAAATAATGTATTAAAATTAGTTTTGAATATGCAGAAACATTTTTATTCAAGTAGTCTAAGTGAACCAGGAATAGTTACCATGGCTATGCCTTCTTTGGAGGTTAGGACAACTTCTAAGAAGAATTATTGTGTGCTTTCGTGGACATACATTATATCGTACATATATTGAATGCCTCTTTAGATTGGGAATGGTCCTTAGTAATCCTAGTCATTTACCTCATTTTACAAAGGATAACAGGCCAAGAGAAGAAATGTTCTTTGCTCAAGGTTTCAATGCCTAGGTCTTCTGACTAGCATTCTTTAACATCGTGCTGTCTCTTAGTTTGCATATTCCAAATGGTCATATTCTTTGTAATGTTCTGAATGACTTTTTTGTAGAATACCAAATCCAAATAAGGAGCCAGGCAGAAATCCTCAAAGTTAAAATTTAAAGAGAAACCTCTAAAATCATTGAGTAGGTAGCAGTAGGGCCATTGATAAATACTGGAAACATTCTGTTGAGAATTGTTCATGGCATTTTTCAGTAAGTTCTGTGGTCTAGGTTTCCTAGACCTGTTTGTTATTTCTGGCTTCTCTGTGATACTATGGACTTAAATTGATATGGGTAAGAAAAGAATGAAAATGTCATGGTTGTAACAACTGTAAAAGGGAAGGATAATTAGCAGATTTATGAATCATGGTCATAAATATGACTTGAGACCTTTTCCACAAGAAAGCTTATCTTTGTTAGCTTACATGATACTTCATTCTTTCATTCTGTCGTTATGTGGAAATGATGAGATTAAGTCCCTTGTAAGAAATTTATACTTCATAATTCACTAACAGCCACTAATGACTAGAGAGTATGCTAGATCAAGGTAAAAATGCTTAGAGTTGTCAAGATATTAACCTGTCTTCCCTTATACTACCAAAGACATTGGTAGTATAGACCTTGAAATGTATGCATACTCCAAACATGTGACAGTCTAATTGATATCTGGATCTTGGAAACATCAGGAGATTCAGTATTTGGATCCCTTTTATATTCTACACTTATCACTGACTTGTTTGATCTAAAGTCTGATGACTTCATTAGACTTCTTAATGGAGGACTAAGTTGGGAGATTGAGTTATGTTCATTTTCTGAGGCTAGTTTTGTCTTTGTTTTCTGTAAAATGGCAGTATGGAGCTGATCCACTAGTATGTTTGTCTTGGACAGATAACTACAAATGGACAGTGTGACCTGGACCCAGAATGGAGTGGGGCAATTGATTTGATTGCCTTTGGGAAATTGACCAGTCCTTTTAATAACCACAAGCATCTCATTGATATAAAGGCTTATCTGTTATAGTCAATATTTTTTTTTCCATTTCAGTGCAAGTCAGGGAATGCCATAATCTCTGAAAAATTAATGTTGTAGGCCACCAAAGGGCACAGGAGAGGTACATGGTGGGAATGAGTAGGCTTCAGCATACCACCGGAGAAGGCATTATTATAAAGATGTGTGAAGAGTTGAGTGCTCATTTTCTATTGGTATCCAGGAAAAGTAGAGTGATCTAGAGGACCTCCAAAGTGTCCCTTTCCTCCCCCCGTCTCCTGTTGGTTGACCCCCAAGTGAGAGATTTATTGAGGGACATGGACAAAAGTAACATACAAGATGAGAAGGTTGATTGGAATATGTTATGAACTGAATCATTAGAAACTACCAAATGAAACCATATCAAAGTGTGATGTAAAATGGGTTTAACTTGCAGCATCTACCTCACAAAGTTACTGTAACAGATCAATCAAATCAGCTCAAGTAATATACTTTATAAATGTTACCTTTTCTTACCATCGGTGTAGTGTGCTTGAATTTCACAAGTATGTGTAATGTATTGAAATGTGCATTTCTCTGATGCATTTATTGCTTGTTGATTGACTGCTTGTATAAAAGGCCATACTAACTGGTGGTGAAATCAAGGTATGAGGAGTGTTAGTTAAGCTAACATGGTTATCCTTTGCCTTAGAACCTATTTAATGAATATGCTCTTGTTCTCTGTTGACTTTAAGCTTGTCATATAAACATAGCCTCCATTCTTGGGGTCTTGGAGGAATTATGTGACTTTCACTAGGTCACATAACACTCCTTGTTTGCTTACATTTTGAAATTTAGCTGGCTAGTAATATAATTCATGTTTCTGTAATGTGTGGATTTACAAAGAATTTGCCTGGCAACTCTTGAGGTAGCTGAGTAAGTAGTAATAATATCTACCTTACTCTTCCTTTCTGAGGGGAAAAATTCTCAGATGTCAGGTGATTTGCTTACGGTTATAAATGATGACAAATAGAATTATTTTTAATGAAGCAAGTATTTAAATTTTGAGCTTTTTAGTTGTACATATAAAATGTGAGGGTGGGTCTTTAAACAAAAATTACATTATTTGAGCCAGAGTGAGAAACTTAAGGTATTTTTATGCAGGTAATTCAGTCTTAAATTTCCTCTTGGCTGGAATTGAAAAAAAAATAGACAACATTCCTGCTGTTTCAATTTCCAAATGATTTCCCAATTTTAAATGACTTTATTCATGTACCAACAGCTTATTTATTATTCACCATTCATTCAAGTGGAGAACTGGTGTAACTGTTTAAAATTTTATGAGCAAATGTACCCTCTTTGTCTGACTATAGGCTGCACTTTTTTCTCCAGATCTGTCTTGGATGCATTCAGATTTCACGCTAAAGAATCAGTGTTATTTTTCAAGTTTATACCTACTAAATGAAGAAAAATAATTTCAAAATAATGTAGAGCAATTTCAAGAAAATGAGAGCACTGACAACTGGGGTGATCAGGAAAGGCCTCATGTAAGAGTTAGCACCTGAGAGTTGATAGGCAGATGAGAACTGTCAAGCTACTTTGAGAGAAGATGGATTCAATTGACTTGCTTCTCTTTATGTCCTCAGAATCTGATTTTGTGTGCTTTTCAACATCTTATGTTGACTTCCCTTATAGAAGTTTAGGCCATGAGATCTTATTTATCCTTTTTCTGAACCCTTTGAAATCTGCTTTACCAAAGATTGAACTTGACTTTCTTATCATCCCCTTTTACATATTTTAAGATGGAATGGTCACTTCCCCCAAAGTTTCCACTTGAGTAAAAAGTGCCCAGGGAAAAGCCAAACAGAGTCTGTGAATTCAAGTGGGAGTGTGTGGGGGTGTATGTGGCAACTCTGACAGTGCCACAAGTGGTGTGTGACTACTGAAATTATTAAAATTATGTTGGTATTTAGAACAAGGGAAACTCCTAATAGCACTATTAATCTGATTGTCTCCATGGATTAGACCACGTTTGGAGTGTTCTGTATGTTTTTGTTTACACTGTGCCATTCTGACAATGAGTGCCATTGTGGACAATTGGAACACACCTAGAAG